TTGCGGGCACCACCGCCCTAGACGCGCAAACCTCCCCTCTGCTTCTTGGGGATGTAAAGGAAGATTCAGCCATTTGCACTGAACAGCAAGAATCTTATCTGGAGCACAGCACGAGTTTCCCAGTCTTTGGGAGAAAAGGCTGTAACTGGAGGTCTTCTAGCTCAGGGGTTGCTGATGCTGGAGAGCACGCGATGGAGAAAACCTCTGCACCTCCGTGTGACCCTTCATCTCTCATCCATACCTGGGGAATCGCTTCCCTGGGGAATTCTGCTGTTTGCTAAACGGAATCAACACAGCTGCTATGTTTAGTAACTGTTGCTCATTTGATTCCAGTCATTAAAATTTAATATCAGCGTAAGCTTTGAGAAACCTGAGCTGACAGCAGTAAGCGCGGAGGGGGAAGAAATGCCCCAGCCTGAAAGCTCCTCCAAGGAGCTCTGGCTGGTGGCTGTCGCTTGTCCCTTGCACCAAAGAGCCTGGCTTGGCCGTGTGATGCTCTTGGAGACGCAGCGCCGAAAGATTCTTCGACCTGTAGTACTGTTTTGTACAAAAAAAGAGGCTCCTCAGAGAGGCAGCAATGGACAGAGTGACTTGGGTTAAGCTCCTTCTGAAGACCAGCAGTTAAAGATGAGGTCCCTTTGCTCTGACAGCTCAACATAAGCTAAATCCATGTTATTTCTTCTGTCGCCTAGCTGTATCTGAAGCGATCCATCACCATGTCCATATAAGCACAGACTCCAAACCACAGAAATGCCTTTCAGCTGCGCTTGATCTCACCACGAAGTTGGGCGATAGACCGAACGACCCTTGAAAGTCTCTTCCAGACGGGTTTCTTACAAACCTCCAACAACACCACGTTCCGAACCAGTCCCTCCCTAGTTTCCCCCCATCCCCTGAAGGCCAGGTCAACCCCACGTCTCCATCCTGGCTCCCGATGGCCAGCATGGGCTCAGCCCCTTGGGGCAGCCATCCCCATCGTTCCACCAAAACGCCTCCTGCAAACAAAGCTTCCCCCTCCCTGAGCGAGATCCGACAGCTGCTTCCCGGCCTCCTGCCGCTGAGAAACCCGGCCAGGCTCAGCACTTCGAGTGGGCGAGGGCTCAGCCCTCCTGTAGGCAGGATTAGTCCCTCCATGACCTGGGAAAGGGGCCGGGTAGCCGTTCTCCAAAAGTTAAGGGTTTGTTGTAGGTTGTGGCCTTTTAGGGCTAGTTTGAGGGGTGTTCGCAGGCAGGAAAAGAAAAAATCCATGGGAAGCTTCAAAGTAGAAACTGCTTCAAAATTCATCTGTTCACAGCCTCCGTCGCAGCCTCCAATATATCTTCTTTATTAAAATCTGGACACAATGAGTCCAGAAGTGCCCACCTTTGTCAGCGCTGCATTGGCAACGTGCCTGGAGCCCTGGGGCCGTGCCTAATTTGCATCTCATTTACACAGATGTTCATTAAAATTAACGCCTTAAGACATAATATCTGCCCGCATTTGAGTCTTCCGGATAGACGGACCGCGACCGCTCCTGGAGAGCTCCAACCATCCCATCCTCCTCCCCATGCGCAGCTGCA